TCCTTCCTTCCTTCCTCTCTTTCACCATTTCTCAGAAGTGGGTGGTTCGAGGATTTTCCCTGACTTGGGAAGAACGCCTGAGAGCCCAGGCTGGCTCTGGCTGGGGAGGCAGGCAGGCCAGGACCAGCCGCAGGGCTGCAGCCGGGCCAGCACTCATGCAGGGCTGCCTCCAGGAACCCTCCCCACATACAGGGCCTGGGCACCTTTCAACAGGCTCCTTGCTGCTGAGTGAAGTCTATTAATATCAAAGTAATGAGGTAATTACTGTGATTTAGAAAAATTACTAGTGAATGCTTTTGAGGGAATTTCAGAGCAGGGAAGAGGGTGAGTAAAGCATCTGTGAGGAAAGGGATACAGGGCTGTCAGGGATGAATCCTCAGGGTGGGTGAGCTCTAGCCTGCGTGGGGCAGAGTGCAGGTGCTCGGAGGGGACCATGGCAGTGTCATGTGTGTGCACGGGACTTTTGGAGTGAACCATTAGGGAGGGGTGTGTTTGGGGTATGTGTGTGTGTGTGTGTGTGTGTAACCGGGGGCAGGATTTTCAGGACCTAGGAGCACCTTGACTTTGGCTGGTGCAAAACAGCAGATTCCAGGGTGAAGAACAAACCCTGGAGCCAGAGGCCAGCCGATTTTCACAATCCCAGCCTCTGACTGTCCTTGACTGATCTCTACCCATAGAATCCCCCCAGCCCTGAGGCCACCAGCCTGGAGAAGGGTTAGATGAAAAAAGACCTCTCTGCATGAGGGAAACCAGGAAGAGCTCAGAAGCAGAGGTTGCCAAGCTGTGACTCTTGGACTGGCAGCGTGGTCATGTTGGGTACAATGAGTTCTGCATTTCTCTTCAAGGAATCAGGATGTCAGCATGTTCAGTTCATTGTCCCCCATTTTAAAGTTTGACTTCCTTGTAGTTTCCGTAAAGAACCATTTCCACCAGTTCTAATCACATCTGTTCCCCTGGTCCCCTGCTCCGTCCTAACTCATCCTGGTTACCTGCTTTGACCTGAGTCACCCCTGCTTACCTTCTCTGACCTGTCCTGTAACCATCCTTCCTGCCAAACTACCCACCCCGCCACTCAGGCTTGTACCCCTCCTCTATCTAAAATAGCCAATCAGAATTAGCCTAGACTGTGCAGTCTAAGCCTAGCCGATAGGGGACCGACACAGCAGTAGAGGCGACCTCCATCAGGAATCAGAACCCTTCCCCCTTCCTTGTCCAGGTGTGTGCTTGCCATTGTTCCAGCTGCATCCTTCTATAGAAGTAAATCACCTTGTTGAGGAAATTTATATTTGAGAGCTACTTCTTTTGCAGCTCTGAAAATTTACATGTAACAATCATCGCCTGGGAACTTGCTAACAATGCACATTCTCAGGCTGCTGCAGAGCCACTGAATCAGTAACTCTGGGGTGAGGACCGGAGATCTGCTGTCGTCGTTGTTTTTGAGACAGTCTCACACCATTGTCCAGGCTGGAGTGCAATGGTGTGATCTCTGCTCACTGCAACCTCTGCCTCCCAGGTTCAAGCCTCTCCTGTCTCAGCCTCCTGAGTAGCTGGGATGACGAGCTCAGGCCACCACATCCAACCTGACAATCTGTTTTAAGGAGCCCCTAATAAAGGCATGAAATGATGGAAGTCCAGGCCTGGGAAATGGAGGCTGAAGACGGCTTTGAGAGGCTTTTAGGAGGTTGAATCTGTAGGAATTAGTTCCAGGGCGGGTGTGGAAGACAGTGTGGCCATAGCAGTTGTAGTGCTAACAGTAACGGTAATAATAACTTGAACATGTATTGTGCACCTTCTGTGCTATTGTTTAATCCTCACAAGCCTAAAAGGAAGCTACTATGCTGATCCCAATTCTTCACATAGGAAACTGAAGAACAGAGAGGCTGAATGGCCAAGGACACACAGCTGGCAGCTGGTGGAGCTGGGATGCAATTTTAGTCTTCAGATGCCGGGTTTTCGCCTCTTCTCTGACACCAGGCTGCTTTGGTAATCTGAAGAGGGTGGTTGGTGACTGGAGTGAGCAGTAAGGGCTGCCAGGGGAGAAGTAACTTCGAGGGATGCTAACATCGTTTTATTTTTTAATTTACTGAGCACTTACTATATGCTGGGCATAATGCAAAGCATTTGCTGGTGCATGCACTGTCACATTTATTTATTTTATTATTATTATTTTTTGAGACAGAGTCTCAGTCTGTCACCCAGGCTGGAGTACAGTGGCATGATCTCTGCTCACTGCAACCTCTGCCTCCTGGGTTCAGGTGATTTTCCTGCCTCAGCCTCCTGAGAAGCTGGGATCACAGGCATCCACCATACCTAGCTAATTTTATATTTCTAATAGAGACGGGTTTTGCCATGTTGGCCAGGCTGTCTCGAACTCCTGGCTTCAGGTGATCTGCCTGCTTCGGCTTCTCAAAGTGCTGGAATTACAGGAATTTGGAATTTGTTGGGCTTCCTGATTCTGAAAATGTATGTCTTTCTTCTGTTCTGTTGACTGAAAGTGGCAGGCAAGGCTTTCTTCTTTTTATTTTTTAATTTTATCTTATTTTATTATTATTATAATTATTTACTTATTTTTTATTTTTATATATTTTTTGTGATGGAGTCTTTCTCTGTCGCCCAGGCTGGAGTGCAGTAGCTCAGTCTTGGTTCACTGCAACCTCTGCTTCCCGGGTTTGAGTGATTCTCCTGCCTCAGCCTCCTGAGTAGCCGGGATTACAGGCACGTGCCACCATGCAAGGTGAGCCACAGGGCCTGGCCTGCTGCCACATTTAAATGCCACACTGATCTTCTAGGTACTGCAACGATTCCATCTTACAAATAATCTCATTGAGGCTTAGAGAGAGAGAGCTGCTTGCCCAGGATCACGTAGTATTTATTTATTTATTTATTTATTTATCTGGACACAGGGTCACACTCTGCTACCTAGGTTGGAGTGCAGTGGCACCATCACAGCTCACTGCACCCTAGATCTCCTGGGCTCGAATGATCCTCTCACCTTGGCCTCCTGAGTAGCTGGGACTACAGGTGCACGCCACATGCCTGGCTAAGTTTTGGTTTTTTACAGTGGCAGGATCTCACTCACAAACCTAAGCCACCATGCCCAGCAATCACATAGTCTTTCTTGTGTCGGGTGCGAATCAGCCTAGTTGTGCTAACTCTGATTGGGAGGTGGTGGTGGAAGGGATGACTCAATGGCCAATTAAATGTTTACAAACTCATGATTTATTGAGAGGCTTTCACACCAACAGGTAAGCAGTTGTGAGAGAGGAGGAACAAGCCACAGGGAGTAGCTCCAGTACCTCCTGGATGACCATGCTGTTTTCCTCGGAATGCCAAGAAGCGTTGGGGGTGGAAGGGGTGGGGGCCGAGCTCTTCTCCCAACAGAGCTTCTGGTAGGCCGCCTGATGAAAAAGAGGCCTCAGAGTTCTCACCAGTAAAGCTCCTACAGGCATCTCTGCCATGACCAGTTTCTTTTTCTTTTTTTTCTTTCTTTCTTTTTTTCTTTTTTTTTTTTTTTTTGAGACAGAGTCTCTCTCTGTCACCCAGGCTGGAGTGCAGCACTGCCATCATAGCTCAC